CTCTCCCGGCGGTGGCCGCTCTGAGCCGCTTGCTCGCGTCTTCGGCCTCTTTCTTTGTCCCCTTATCAAATGCCAGCTGCGCTTGTTCCCAAAAGTGTTTATGCCAGTTGTACTGTTTTTATCATAACGGTGTGCTTTAACTCAATACACGTAAACTGTTGGCCTGTAAGTGCAAAAAAAGAATTGTAGTTTCTAAGAAAACTCGATAAGAATGTTTTGGGGAAAGATTCAAAAGAGACAAGTCAAAAAATTGCAGTCTGTTTAATAGTGTTTATGACATATGTAAAGATTTACAGAAACTGTTAAAAAAAAAAAAAAATCACACAACAGCCAGAAGGATATGGCACTCAAATGGCTTTAAAAGTGTCTAAGATTTTTCTCCACTTTAAAGAAACCAAAACGAAATGAAACAATTCCGGGTAGGCGTGGTTTATGTATCAGAAAGACATATGTTGGATTTGTACTCATGTAACAGCCTTGGCCTACGTCAGCAAGTAGGCAAGGGGATTTGCATTTCTGTTTGTGGTGTGTACGTTTCCATATAATTTTTGATGACTTCCTGCCTAAACTAACTTTTTGATTACCAGCTACATTGAATTTCAGGCAGTGGTGACCTTTGCTTTCCTGTTCAACCGAAACAGTGGGGTCTGGGATAATAAAGACTCAGAGAACAAGGTCTGTGCATAGAGCCACACATCCTGGCATGATGCTAACGACACTTCGGTCCTTACAGTGCAGTGATTATTACCTCCTAGTGTTTCTAAGCTACGATGTCACGAGGATGAAAAGGCAGGCATGCCATTTATAACACTTAGCTGAGAAAAGTACCATTCTTTTAAATGATGATTTATAGTTTACTATATTCTAGAAGAAAACATGACCCAAATTATTTAATTCTAATAAAAGCATAAGGACAGTATTGAGGATCCCAATCTTTTACAGCTTGAAAATTAATTGAGGTGATGGATGCAGCATTCGGCTTCTGAGCCAACAGTCGATATGTAATTTCTCCTCTGTTCAATTAAAAAAAAATGCTTTTATTGACTTCAGAGAGGAAGGGAGAAGGAGAGAGAGTTCGAAACATCAGTGATGAGAGTCATTGATCGGCTGCCTCCTGCTCGCCCCCTACTGGAGATTGAGCCCTCAACCCGGGCATGTGCCCTGATGGGGAATCGAACCGTAATCTCCTGGTTCATGGGTTGACACTCAACTACTGAGCCACACCGGCCAGGCTCCTCTGTTCAATTTTAATTTTCTATGGTCACTTGATTACATGACAGTTTCTCCCCACTAACTTAAATAGAATTGTGAACATTTTTCTTCTGTTACTCCTATTTTTAAGAAGGCATTAGAATGTTGCTCAAAAGTCTCGACTGATGAGAGCTGACAGCTTTTAAATATAATGGCTCAAATTCAACTTTATAGAAAAGAGCGGTCACTTGATGGTCCTCTTTACCTGACAGCGATCGCCTTTCACCCCATCAAGAACGTGCATGGTAGAGTTACCGCACGCCGAGGACAGCCTTCTAACGGCTTGGGAAGGCTTGGCTGATGCCCGGTTGGCTGTAAATATACAACACTGTAAACTCATATGGAAATACGTTGTCATAACAAGCAGTGGAACAGAGCTCAGCAGAGAAGAGTTCCCAAGCTGTGCCCATTGAAATGAGACAGCTCTCGATGCCTGGCGTGGCTTCCCCATTAACTATCTATGTGGCCTTAAGCAAGTTACTTTTCTAATAGTAAGTACTTTCCTTATAATATTGTGAAGACCAAATACAATGTGCCTGGCCGAGTGCAAGCACTGAGGAAATGTTCACTGCTTTTCTTTTGTAAGATTCGCAGCTGTGGTCCAAGCAGGATGGTTTCTAGATACTCTTCCCTCAGAAAACTTCTCGAGTTTGACGTAACGCCTCCCTCTTCGTTACCACCCTGGGCCCAGCCGTTGTCATCTCTTGACAAGTTCTTACTCCAGTTGAACTAAAGTATATTTCTACACCATCCTCCATGTATATATGGCACTATGCTGGGATTCGTGTGTAACATAGATGTAATAAACAGTTCATCATGGCTGTTCGGAGGCCAAAAAACAAAAAAAGTAAAATAAAGGGTGGTGCCGCAGGCTTGCCCGTTTATCATCCAGCCAAGTTACCCAGGCCCCAGCTGGCTCAGGTAGTTTGACGGCGCTTCCTAACGGTCTCCCTGCCTCTCTGTAGTCTTTTTGTAACATCCCTCAAGCACGTCAACTTCGTATCACTTCCCTGCTCGCCGCCCTCAACAGCTGCCCATCAGGCTTAGGATAACACTCGGAGTCCTCACCACGACACCACCACCCAAGCGGCTGGCTGTCTGTGACCCCCGTTCGCACACACGTGTCCCCGCTCACTTCCCTCCCGCCACCACTTCCTCGCAGTTCCTGTAATATATCCCCACCTGAAGGCCTTTCACTTTGCTCTTCTCTCTGCTTACAATTTTCCCGGCCCAATATTCACTCCATTCAGATCTCTGTTCAGGTACCCTTCCCAGAACACCGTCTCAGTGGGCGACTCTCCGGTCACCCTCTGTCTCCTGATCCAGCTTTTCTCTTCTGCACAGCGTGACTCACTACTTTTATTGCCCCCCCACCAGAGTATAAGTTCCACCAACTTCATTCTCCACGGCTACAAAGCTGCCCGTTAGCGTAGAAAGCAATCGGTAGCTATGTGTGATCAATGGGTCCTTGAATTTTGTGTTAGGTATTAAGTTTCTTGAAGATAGCAAATTATCTTCTCATCTTTGTAGCCCCATTAACTGGCACAGTTCCCGACACTCAGGTAGTGCTTAACAATTTTTTTAAAAAATGTTGTGTGAGTGAACCGAGAGGAATCTCGGACTGATAGAGGGAAAACTGCATGTGGGTGGTGTGAGGAGAGAGCAAATTGTACTTATGAGTAGGAAATTCTTTTTACATCTAAAAATAGTTGATATATTTGTTCCTTTACGTGATATATTTAATTATTGTGAAGATAAAGGAAGTAATGGTCTCCTTTTCTAGTGGAGTATTAAGTGTTTTTAGGTTCTAAGTCCTGATTAATCTCCTAAGCAATGGGCCTAGGATTTTAGGTCAACCAAAAACCTCAGTCTGGGCTTGCAGATAATTTTGCATCTTGTCATTTCAGTCCCCTCATAAATCATGACTCCAGGCTTTGCAGTAATGGAATCCCAGCTGTCCAATGATTAAAAGAACAGCATCTGACCAGGCTTGTATTGTCATACATGTTTTCTTTGTATTTTTTTTCACCCCTTTGAGCGTCGAGTGACTGTACACTGGCTTAACATCAGAAATTAGTTTGAAGAACGATGTTAGACAAATAACTTGGAATTTTTCATGATGAACTTCACTTGTAGAAATATAAATAATGGAAATATAGAAGAAAACTGATTTCCTAAGCACAACCTACCCTAGAAACTACTGTGTACACATGATACCCTCAACAGCTGCTAAGACACATGCAAATGAACAGTTGGTTCCTATCCCCATTTTAATTTTCGGGAAGTGCCTCATTTGCAAGCTGACAAGTGAGGAGGTGGATGGGACTGAGGCAGGGCTGGAACCATATTGCATAAGCCACGTGGTACAGAATCAGTGGTGGGAGTTGGGAAGGGTGAGAGACTACTTCTGCTGGACCAGGGGGCAGCTGATTTTGCCTCTCATTCATTCTTCATTTTCTCTTATTTATTTTTTAAATATGTTTTTATTGATTTTAGAGAGAGAAGAAGGGAGAGGGAGAGAGAGAAAGAAACATCGATGAGAGAGATACATCATTGACCGGCTGCCTCCTGACACCCCCTGGGTAGGAAGGTAGGCCCATTGATATTCATGCATTAATTGTGGGTGTTGTAGACTCAGGAGTTCTGAAAGGAAATCGGATTTACCATGACAGTGAATATTTGTTAAAGATGTTTACAATTAAATGATGACATTTGAGAAGCTATGAAATCTTGCCTACTTGACACCTTCCTGGTGATCCCTTTATTATCGGTGGGGACCGGACTCATAGCAGGTCTGCCTCCAGCCTGCCAGTAGTGTGAAGGTTCTTGACTATGTGCAGGGAAGATTTCACAATGCGAGTCCAGGTGAATTTGAGGGTGTGTTTTTAAAGCTGGGGACAGTGAAATGAAGGAAGGGCTTAAGGTAAAAGAAGCAACCAGAGAGAGCCTAGGAAGGGCTGCTTTGGCCCTCTAGAAATGAGTCACATTGAAAGAAGTGAGCCAAGGTGGGGCTGCTGTTAGCTCACTGGAAAGTCAGAGAAAAAGGGGGCCTTGGAGACAGATTCAGGGGGTTAGCCCAAGACAAGCTACCACTGCCTGCTACTCCCCTGGTTGTAAGTATTGTGGGGACCCTTAGAGTTTAGAAAGAAAGCAGAGATGCGAGGCATGGGCACGCTCTAGCAAGAGCATGCTGTGGGTCCCTTGTCTTTAGGCTTTTTTTTTTTTCAGAGTGAGGAAGGGAGAGGGAGAGAAAGTTAGAAACATCAATGATGAGAGACAATCCTTGATCAGCTGCCTCCTGCACGCCCCCTACTGGGGATCAAGCCCAAAACCCGGGCATGTGCCCTGACTGGGAATCAAACCATGACCTCCTGGTTCATGGGTTGACATTCAACCACTGAGCTACACCGGCCTGTTGTCTTGAGGCTTTTTATCTTTCTTTGTCTCAGGTCCCAGCTTGCCATTCATCTGTCCCTTTAGGATCCAAACTGCTGTCACCGTGGACACCCCCATCCCGTCCCCCAGGAAGATAATGAGGTTCTTGGCAGTCATCTGGGTGGGCTGCAGCTTCTTGGCGATGTCCAGGGCCTGGGCTGCCTGATGGTTCCAGAAGGCTGGGTCTTCCTCCTCAACTGGAGGATGCCCAGGGAGAGCCATAGCCTCAGGCCCAGCAGCAGCAGCAGCAGCACCCAGGCTCCCTGCATGCCTATGGGATGGCAGGAAGGTGGCAGAGCTGGGACTCCAGAGGGACTGGGACCCTGGTGAGGCTGGAACTTGGGCAAGGCTGAGACACCAGAGTACCAGCTGCAGTACAAGCTCTACTCTTCAAGTATGGAGTGTTTACAAAGGCTTCTGCTTTCCGCACACACAGGCTTCCTGTGGAATTCTTCAAACACTTTGAAGTGTGTCTTTTCAATGAGATGGATCTTTCAATACTTAAATTTCAGGAATGATTTAATACGTCGGAACACTCAAGATGGGCACAAGTTGTTTTATGTTGGAAACTCTTTTGTCATCAGTTTTCAGCTGTTGCTTTACGCAGGCAGCTTGAAAATGTAAAAATTTAAACCTTGGCATTGATCAATAGAAAACAGAACCTATTGCCTACACCTTTCTTCCCTCTCAGGCGAGGATCTCCTAAATGCTAAGGGTCTCGAAAGGACTTGCAACCAGGGAGAAATGGGCAGCAGCAGCTCATCCCAGGCCAACCCCCTGAACCTGTCTCCAAGGCCCCCTTTTGTCTGACTTTCCAGGGAGCTAACAGCAGACCTGCCTTTGCTCACTTTTTCCCCCATAACATTTCTAGAGAGCCAAAGCAGCTCCGCCTATGCTCTCCCCTGTTGTTTTTTTTGGTTTTTGTCCTAAGCCTTTCCTAGTTTCACTAGCCTCAGCTTTAATAAACATACTCTCAAAATCACCTGGGGAAAAAAAAGAAAAAGAAAACAGAACTACCAAAGACTACTTTCTAACTCATTTAATTACCAAATTGGTAGACTGCACCTGAAATATGTTTTCTAGAAATAATTTTCTTGTTAAAATAATTTATCACAATATAGCCCCTCAATACACTGCTTCCATAAAGTACTCATAGATATCAATCATATTGCTCAGCTTTTCATCATTATATTTCCAGCCCTGTAAAATGGTGCGTAAATCCAATTGTTGAAAAAATTTAATGTGTTTATGTGTATTTAATATCCCAATGGTAGATTTTTCCAGTGTCATTTCAGACCATTTCCCCCCCAAAATAGTCACATTCAATTCTTCACCTCGAGTGGACACATATCAAGTTTATTGAGCTCGATTATTTTTGAAATACCACCACCATCCACTTTAAGCTTTTCCTAGCTTTTTACAATAAAAAAAGGTAGAAAAAAAATGAATTTTAGTTATCCTTCAGAGCCAAAATTAAAACACTTTAGAACAAAATGAGGCCAAATCTTTGCAATTCCAAGTGACTAGACACCCAAAAGAAACACACTATAAAACCTGCCGATTTTATGCCTGCCCAGAGGTCTGAACTGAATTCCTTTTTATTTTTATTTTTTATTGATTTCAGAGAGAGGGAGAGGGAGATAGAAACATCAATGAGAGTCATTGACCGGCTGCCTCCTGCACGCCCCCTACTAGGGATCGAGCCTACAGCCCAGGCACTGCCCTGACCGGAAATTGAACCGTGACCTCCTTGTTCATAGGCCGACGTTCAACCAGTGAGCCACGCCTGGCTGGGCCTGAATTCCTTTTTAATAATTTGGATATTTCTTCTCTTTCTCAGTGACACAGGAACAACACCTCCAGAGAGTGGTATTTTTGGATTTATGATAAACTTCTCTGCATTTCTTGGTAAGTACACAAAAATTATTATAAATAAATGAAAAGTTCACAATCTCATGTGCTGTGTATAATTTTTATTGTCATTTTTAAACATACTTAATTTTTTTTAGGACAGTTTTAGGCTCACAGCAAAATTAATCCAAAGGTAGAGATACCCTACATAGCCCCGTCCCCCTACCCCCAGCC